CCCACGGTATAGGTCAATATAGTTACTGCTGGGTGCTTTGCATACCCAGCACATCTCCTACCATAGCTGCGCAGGAAAAGACCTTAAAGATCATTTTGTTCAATTGCCTTAAAAATGAAAACACTAAGGCTGAGAAGTCTCTGACTTAGGCAAGCTCCCACCACTGCCAGCATTACCTAAAAGCTAGTCATACTGCATCAGTTATTTTTCTTCATGTAACACAAGAATTGACAACTTAAGTAGAGAAAGGTAAGCACTGCCGCTCAGGACTGCCCGCAAAACCATACTAACCCTGCCAGCCGAAGAGCCAGGCGCAGCCTAATAGGCACTAGGAAGGGTTGTGGGACTTACGAGTGGAACATGGAGGCCAGCATGAGTTTCTCATTGGAGGTGAGGCGGGGCCGGCCAAATCGAATCGACACCGGGTAATTAGCAGGGTTGCCTAGGTACTCCAACACCTCTTTCCCATCGGCCGTGTACTTGCCGTTCACGTCCACGCCATTGATGGCCAGAACTGCGTGGCCCACTGCAGAGGCGAGGCCAAGGATCAACCAAGCCCCAGCCTGGTGATTCCGCGCAGAGCACAGCAGACCCGGCCCTACCCGCGGGACCCCCACGCGCAGACACACCAGCCCAGTTCCGCGGCCCCAGGCCCCGACCCCCAGCCCGAGCCTAGCCCACCCCGGATGCCGTCCCGCTGGCCGAAGGCAACCAGCACACGCTCGTCATGTAGCTTAAGCAGTAGATCAAGCGGGTAACTGAACGTTTTCTCTGCCTCGGCCCGTGGAGCGTAGCTGTCCAATTGGTAAATCAGGCCGCCAGCTTTGTTCACCACATACACACTAAAGATCGCCATTGCAGGAGCCGCGGCACCGGGACGGGAATTCGGCTACTTCCTGGTGGCCCCACCCCCGGAGCCGCAGTCACGGGTCGTAACCCCCGCCCCGCTTTCTTCTCCAAGTCCTGGCGCGGCCGGCTGCGGCGCTTGCGCACTTGAGGCAAGACGCTTAGCTGAAATGCCGGTAGTTGTTGGGGTTTGCCAATTGTTTTCCGTCTCTCTTTCCCGGTTAAGTGCCAGGAAATAGCAGCGTGTGCCTGCTTCACAACTAGCGGCAAAGCCTGACAAAGCGGAGACAAGAATCCAGGTTGCGCGGATCGGGACGGGAACCCAAGTCCTCCACGCCGCTTCCGGCGAGAGCGACAGGGCCGCGCCCCCGGAATTCCTCCACGAGGCCCCGCCCCCTGCTCCGGAAGCACTCTCGGCGACTGGAGGGTTCTGGGTCTGTTCGTCAGCGCCGTTTTCTTTTCGTCCGACATCTTAGTGAGGCTCCTGTGGTAACGCTGCGCTCCGAGCGTCGTTATGGTGAGCTCGGGAGTGAAGCCGGCCCGGTTTTGAGAACCGGGCGGTGCAAGGGCCCGGCTGAAGGCGGCTTCGGAGGGGGAGCTCCCAGAACTTCCCGGCTGCTCCCCAGGGGTGGCGGAGGGTTGCTTCACCCATGTGCTGCGGTAGTGAAGTTGGGGCGGGGGTGGCGGCGCCGTAGTAGGGCGAGCAAGGGGCTGCCTTAGGACGTGGTTGCCTTCCCACTTACCTTCGACAGCCGCCCAAGGACGACAAGAAGAAGAAAGATGCCGGAAAGTCGGCCAAGAAAGACAAAGATCCAGTGAACAAATCTGGGGGCAAGGCCAAAAAGAAGGTAGGAATGAGTCCCCCCTCTTAAAGTGTGAGGGAGACTAGGGGCGCGCATTCAGTATCGCTGTAGTAATTAGTGATAGAAACAGGCTTTAAAGGTTGTGGGGTCTAGAGTCGGGTTATTAAGAGTTTGCGCTTTCCTTACCATTCATGCCCTTCCATTTGAATGGGGAGGTGCATACTACTTGGAAATTAAGTAAGTGTGTGTGAAGCATGTGTTATGTTATTTTAATTGGTTTCGTCGAACCCGGCCGCTAACAAAGTTTAAAGATGTGTCGTTTTACAGTCTAATGTATCTTTGATACCTTTAACGGTAATTATTCTCGTTTGCTTTATATCTTGGCTTAAAAATTATTTGGATATTAATTTGCAGAATTTCTGCAGATCCTGAATCTCTTTGGTTTCTGCAAGGCCCAGGAACAGAGCCACTCTCAGTATGACCCTGCACGGTGGAGATTTCTCTGACAGATTGCTTGGGAGAGAGAAAGTGATTCGTCCAGGAACACTGACTCTTCCTTTTTGCTTTTTTTTTGTGAGCAGAAGTGGTCCAAAGGCAAAGTTCGGGACAAGCTCAACAACTTAGTCTTGTTTGACAAAGCGACATACGACAAGCTCTGTAAGGAAGTTCCCAACTATAAGCTTATAACCCCAGCTGTTGTCT